GAGTTCACTTTCCTGTGACTCCTCTCAGAAGCTGGAACTCTGTTGAAGGAGCCACGTCGAGCCAGCTTCTGTGCAGCACAGACGTGAACTTTGCTGTAGGTTTCACTTTTCAGTTCTGGTAAGACAGATGCAGCAACATCCACTAGTTCTTCATCTACAGAAATGGAAGATTTGGCAGTGTTGTTACACAGCTATCATTCCGGATAACTTTACCTTTTTAAGATATGGTTTGGAAAGCCTATCATTGTAATGGAGCTACCCTATCAATGAGCAACTTAGACACTCCAAGGAATTATATGAGCCTGTCTCAAACCCCGATTTCTTCTGATGTACAATTCTTTTTAAGTTAGTGGAGGACTATAAAGTGAGATTAACTCCATATATGTTCTAAAATTACCTAAACTGCAATAAAAGTGGAGCAAGATGTTTTTCACCCTAAAATAGAAGGAAGCTAACATTTTAGATACTTTCTTTGGGCAGAGTATCAAAAGGAAGCCCAGCTATGCCCATATATGTTCTAAAATTACCTAAACGGCAATAAAAGTGGAGCAAGATGTTTTTCACCCTAAAATAGAAGGAACCTAACATTTTAGATACTTTGGGCAGAGTATCAAAGGGAAGCCCAGCTATGCTCAATGTGCATATTTTGAGGTTTTTAACGGTAATTGAAATCAGTCTCTTATGCCATAGCTCTAAGGCAATAAATATAAAAATGTCTGGATTCTATTGCTTTACTATTTCTTATGCAGTAGGAGGCTCCGTTAACCAGTGACCAAGGGAATAAGGTCAACAGAAACCGAGCAAGATGTTTTTCACCCTAAAATAGAAGGAAGCTAACATTTTAGATACTTTCTTTGGGCAGAGTATCAAAATTCTGGTAAGACAGATGCAGCAACATCCACTAGTTCTTCATCTACAGAAACGGAAGATTTGGCAGTGTTGTTACACAGCTATCATTTCGGATAACTTTACCTTTTTAAGATATGGCTTGGAAAGCCTATCATTGTAATGGAGCTATCCTATCAATGAGAAACTCAGACACTCCAAGGAATTATATGAGCCTGTTTCAAACCCTGATTTCTTCTGATGTACAATTCTTTTTAAGTTAGTGGAGGACTATAAAGTGAGACTAACTCCATATATGTTCTAAAATTACCTAAACGGCAATAAAAGTGGAGCAAGATGTTTTTCACCCTAAAATAGAAGGAACCTAACATTTTAGATACTTTGGGCAGAGTATCAAAGGGAAGCCCAGCTATGCTCAATGTGCATATTTTGAGGTTTTTAACGGTAATTGAAATCAGTCTCTTATGCCATAGCTCTAAGGCAATAAATATAAAAATGTCTGGATTCTATTGCTTTATTATTTCTTATGTAGTAGGAGGCTCCGTTAACCAGTGACCAAGGGAATAAGGTCAACAGAAACCTCATAGTTGAAACGCTGCAGAATAGTACGGATAATAAAGGGCTGGGCCTGAGGGGCCCATTTTATGCTTCAAGGAGCTGATATGAAGTCAGGACAGAATTTCTACATAGAACCAGGCCTGTATTTCTAGGTAGAAATAGTCCCCATTTCTGTTGCTCAGACAGTTATTCCTACCCTGCTCTTCTGTGCTGTTTATTTCAGAGCTCAAAGCATGCCCATTTTAATAAGGCTGATTAAATAGACGGAAAGGTCCAGCCACACTTACAGTCTCTAAAACACACAAACATTGAAAAAGAAAATCACCTTTATGGGTTTCTATTTCTTATAACAAAAACACAGTAAATGTTCTTTTTAGAAATTCAGAAATTACAGAATCAAAAAGAAAAAAATGGGTCAAGACAATAACAGGGATCAGAGTTCTCCTTCCTGAAACAAAACATTGGACAATATATATAAATCAACCAGTGGCTCTCACGACACGGAACATCAGGACATGAAAGACAATGATCCTTTAGAGCCAGGAATCAAGTGAGGTGAGCTCCATGACTGCCCCAATTCACTGCCTGGAGACTGTTTCCAGGTTGGGGTGCAGAGAGGGGGACCTTGAGAGAGCCTGGAAGTCTCTCCAGGTTGAGGATGGAGCTGGGAGGCCAGGAAAGCCAAGGCAGCTGGAGTTTGCGTGGCAGAGTATTAGAGGAGAGCCATACAGAAGGAGAATGATGGAGATGGGTGGAAGGTGCCCCTGGGGTACTCAGTGGAGTACTCACACAGGTGAGAAAACTACCCAAGGCAGAGGGGAAAGAACCACTCAAAAGGAACAGAAGGAATACTGTGTTGTTTCAACAGTGGGGACAATGTACATGCATATATATGTATATGCGTATATGTATATATGTTTTAATACTCACCTGAGGATATTTTGTCATTGCTTTTTAGAGAGAGTGTAAGAGAGAGGGAAAGACAGAGAGATATCGATGTGAGAGAAACACATCAGTTGGTTGCCTCCTGCATGACCCCCCGAGTAGGGCCTCAGCTGGGGGGAGAGCCTGCAACCAAGGTATGTGCCCTTGACTGGAATAGAACCTGGGACCCTTTAGTTTGCAGGGCAATGCTCTACCTGCTGAGCCAAACTGGCTAGGGCTACATGCATATTCATTGTAGCTTTATTTGTAAAAGCTAAAAAATGGAAATAATCCAAATGTCCATCAACATGTAAATGACTGAAGAATGATATAGCCATACAATGGAATACTTCTTAGCAATAAAAGGAAAAAACTACTGATAAGTGCTACTACATGACTAATCTCAAAATAATTATGCCGAGTGAAAGAAGCCTGATAAAGAGTATAGGAGGTACAGCCTATTCTTGTTTTTTGTGGTTCTCATGTTCTATAAAGTGAGCAGGAACAATTAATTAGCAAACACTGAAGCACTGCTCCTAGAGGAAATACAGGGTTAGGTTCCTGCATGCTTCTGGTCACAACATTTTTGTCAACTGATCTACACATAACCCTATTTTATGTGTTTCTGTTTAAAGACACCTTATTTAATACATATTGTTGATCCATCAGTTCTGAACTCATAGCAAACAGCACTAGAACTCATGTCTCAATGAAGCCCCTCTAACATGTATTTTCTCTGTAAGGTACATTACTTAGAAACACTAGACAACGCTTCAGCACGACACTTGGGCACCATTTCAAACAGCGAAATCACCAACTCCAAGCACACAAATGTGAAACATGGCATTAAAAGGACCACAAAAAGGACACTTGTTTATAGTATGAGAGCTGAAACAAGGCAGCGCACTGTCCAGCTTGACCTCCGTTGGCAACTCAAACTTTCTGCCACTCTCTGCATATCTGTGAACAACTTAGAAAATGCTGCATTACTTTTGGAGTGACAAATTTGAGTAGATAAATTCGCAAATATGGAATCCGATATAATAAAAGGCTAATATGCAAATAGACCAAATGGCAGAATGACTGGTCACTATGACATGCACTGACCATCAGGGGGCAGAAGCTCAATGCAGGCCCTGCCCCTTGGTGGTTACTCATGGCTCATGACTGGCGAGCACAGTGGTGGGAGCTTCTCTCGCCTCCGCAGCAGTGCTAAGGACCCCCCCTTGGGGGATGTCCAACTGCCGGCTTAGGCCCATTCCCTGAGGGGTCCCAGACTACAAGAGGGTGCAGGCCAGGTTGAGGGACCCCCCTCCCCCAAGTGCACGAATGTCATGCACCAGGCCTCTAGTCTGTGAATAATGACTGTAGGTGACTCACTGATAAAATTTTTTTATAAAATACAAACAAATCTAGAGTGAAAGAAAGCAGATCAGGGGCTTCCCCTGGGGAGAGAGGAGGGGAGGAAGAAAGGAAGTTTAAAGGGACAGAAGTGACTCTGGAAGGTGATGGGCTCACTGTCTTGACTGCAGTGATTATTTCACAGATGCAGACGATGCAAAAGCTTATCACATTGTAACTTTAACCACATTCCACTTATAATGTGCCATGATACCTCAATAAAGCTGTTAAAAGGAAGAAAAGCCATGATGGTGGGAAGGGAGACAGGAAAGAGACATCTATGAAGTTTAACTGTGAGGCACTGCTAATCAAGGAGTGAATTAAGGGATCAACGGTAACTCGATGTTCCAAACCTGATAGCTGGGCTGATGATGAGGATATCAGTAGAAACTAGGGAATGCAGAACGAGGATCACATTTCTGAGGGTAGGTAAGCAGCTACTTTTGAGGTTCCTGACCTGGTTCCAAGCTCTCTTTCGCTCCTTAGTTCAGAGCTCCCCCCAGTTGCTGTCCCACTGGTTATGCAAATACATGAACTCATTTTCTCAATTCCAGCTCATTTCCCCAACTACCTCATTTTCTGCAATGATACCACCATCCTTGAACCCCTCCTCTCTTTCAACCTATCTAAAGACTAGAGACCCCTTGTCACGTCAGTCTATGCATCTAGTACAAATGTCTTGCTTACCCTTTGAAGCCCACCAAATATTCTGTTCCAAGTGATCGCACTTCATGTCTCATCACTCTCTGCCCTATGCCCTCCACTCAGATCATGATGGCTGAGCTCTCCCCCACACACCAGACTTGTGCTTAGGTATCAGTTCTTTCAACTAAAAAGCTCTCCATCCCTCCAAAACCTAAAAGTCCACCAGAACTTCACCCATATCCTTTGATTTCCTACAGCACCACTACCACCATGTATAGTGCTTGACTGTTATTCTAAGTTTCAAATGAGTGCTAATTATACGACTTCAGTAGAGGCTCATTAACCAACGAAAGTGAGCAAGGCATGGATCTGGGTGCTTAGGTAATCAAAGATGAACAAAGACCTCTTCTGCCCTCAAACCCATGGAGCAGGGACCACAGCATCACATCAGCATCACCAAGTACAAGAGCATAATACTAAAGTGCAGCAGTTCAGATGAGAGACTCTTTGCTCTGGGTGACGAGGGAAGCTTTACGGAGGAGTTGACATTTGTGACAGATCTGGAAAGGGGAACAGAGTATTTTCATGTCCAAGAGAAGAGGGCTTCACAGGTGAAAGGATGAAGAGAAGCCAAAGGCAGAGCAACAGAAAAGGGCAACGTTGTGTGTTCCATGTAGGCACGGATGGCGTGCTGTATGCAGCTTTAGTCTCTCATGGCACGTGCAGAGTCCACATGCAGTCAGTACTTGCTGGGTGGAATTAGTTACATTAGATTTCAAGCGGTTTCATCTAGATCCGAAGTGAATAATGTGCTACAATGAGGCAGAGAGCTGCATCTTCTATAGGCCTGGGTTAAGTGGCAGGAATTTATGCCACTAACACCAAAATTGCAAGGGTAATTTAAAAATAATGTTAATGGCTTTTTCTCAGGCAGCCTAGTTATATGTAAAGTAGCTGGTACAGTAGGATCCAGTCCCCAATTGCTCAGCTATTACCTGTGAAATAGGTAGAAGATAATACCCTCTTCTGCTCTAGTATAGTAAAATTGACATTTGTAACCTTTGAAATAAATGATAAAAAAACAGGTTTTCATTGCATCTATACTATATTTAGGAGCCATTTTTACCATATATTAGTTTCATGATAGCAATAGTATAATTTTTACATTATGTGGAATTTCAAAGAAAAACAATATTTTAGGTATTCCACTAATGTAGACATCACTTGAGCTTATAAATGTCATTTTAAATCCCTTGTCCCAAATTTCCAGGGGAAAAAAAAATCTTCTGAATAAAATAGAACATGCTAAAGGGCTATAATTTACTAGTTATAGAAACTCCCACATCATAAGCTCTCAGTCTTTCCCCTCCTACTGTGTGAGCCGACCAGCACGTACCATTTGTAGACTAGTACTCACTGTTCTGAGAGTGACATCACAGTCTAATTTGAATGTGACTTGGGTAACGGAAAATGGGGGAGAAGATCGAACTCACTCTGTAGATGTAGGATTTTATATAAAATCGGTCCCTAACAAAACCATGCCTCACCACTGGAGGCGAAGTCCACAGGCC